TTTTGGTCAGAGAATATGGACTATATATGTCTGTACATTGTAGGTTTCAGACTGCATATTATGTAGATAGTCTGTAGCTAATATTAATTATGCCAAACATTGTAGTAACTAGTGTAAGCATAATATGGAAATTAATACTAAGTATCTACATTTACTGACATGCCATAACATGACCATTCGAAAACAAACAAATTTTGAATTGCATATATAGTGTGATAAAATACGATAGCGTTAAAGGATCTTTTAGGACTTTTAGCTGGTTCTAATGATGGGCTCTACTTTATTAACTCATTAAAGCCCAATGCTCCCGTATGCGCCCTGAGATTGACAAGTGGGAAACGGACAATGCGCCCTGGCATGACACCTTAACTTGCGCGCATGATATTTGAGCACGTGTTTATCGGGTTGCCTAGCAACGGATACGAAAATAGAACATGAAATTCGAGCTTTTCAACGGTGTATCATGCAAGAAAATCGGTCAGAAACTCGCAAAGTTTTTCAAGTTTAAAATCTTAGTTTTCCAAAAATAATGAATAATGGCGATTCTGTTACAAAGAAAGATTTTACAGCAAGTTTTAAAAGCAAGAAAAGAAGAGGTTTCTGAATCAACTACAACGAAAATTTGGCATGAAAGGAAAGCGAATGTATTGACGTTTTGGGGCCAAGTTTTTGTGTGAACCATGCACGAGATTTTCAGCCAAAAAGATGAGGATTTCTCCAAACTTTATTAAAAATAGAAGTTGGAAATCACAAGAAAGATGAACACGGAACACAAGTGAGCAGATACGATTTTTTAAAGGGTATTGGCAACAAAAAATTTTACTGCTTCGTCTGAAAGAGCATGAAAAAATAAGCTGATTAGCCGGTTAATGCTCTATTCTATCTCATCTAGTTCGGAAGTTATACGCAAAAATGTGCAAAATATAAGTTGCTGATTCAGCACAATGTGTGACGTCATTGGTTGGGTAAGTATGTTTAATGAATACTAAACTGAAGCATAGCTCAGTTATTATTGGGCCAAATCAAATGAAATTTTGCATACTGATTGTACATGAGACGTATTGAAGAACACTTCTAATTTTGTTGCCAAGGTAACAATGTTGTTCCCAGGCCCCTTGCGCCAATTTTATAAAACAGCTTCATTCATGGTACTTATAAGAATAAAATAATATCAGAAGTATGTGTACCATACCTATGCATGCCGAAAGTTTACTTGCATGATAATAATTCGAAAATGACATACACATAGATAAATGCAACTAGTTATTCAAAATCAGTGTACGGGGCCTGGGAACGACTGTGTTGCCTTGACAACAAAATTGGAAGTATTTTTCCATGCGTCTCATCATGTACTATCTGTATGCAAAATTTCATTTGATTTGAGCTAATAATAACTGAGCAATGCTTCAGTTTACTATTCAATAAACATACTTACCCAACCAATGACGTCACACGTTGTGCTGAATCAGCAATTTATATTTTGCACATTTTTGCGTATAACTTCGGAACCAGATGAGATAGAATAGAGCAGTAAACGGCCAATCGGCTTATTTTTTCATGCTCTTTCAGATAAAGCAATAAAAAAATTTATTGCCAATGTCCTTTAAAGGGTATTTTTGAGTAGAAATATGCGATCAAACACTCACAAAATTCGACTGCATTAATGTTGGTTGAATCTAGTTTAAAGTTATCTTTTTAGACGAACTGTTTATGCAAATTTGGGCACAAGTAGGGTACTCCAAAATCACTGTTATATCTATTTTCATCAATTTAGTCTTAAAATGACAACTCGTTTCAGACATATTGTGGCTTGAAATAAGTGTATTGAATTAATGCGCTTGCTTGCCGCGTGCGAATTCTCAAAAAGTCTGCACTTGAGTTATAAAGCTTTTAAAATGCTTTTTGTATTGGGTTTTATATCCCCATAAAACTTTAAATCGATAAGGCAGATAGTAATGTTGATCCAACCTCATTTTCTAGTAACTACATGTTGAATCAGAAGGAAAAGTTATCAAAATTTGGTCACGACGGTTGTTTGCCGTTGTTGTCGCTTCTCTCTGAAATGGCTTCCTTTGCGGGAAGCCATGAAACTGAAGTCCCAACAAAAACATAATTTAGCCGTCCTTTCGAGCCCATTGCTCGCTTATTTATCATGAAATCGTTTCACTAGAACATTTTTAATAATGTCTATGGGAAACTTTGTAATTTTCTGAACTAAAAGTTTATGGTTTTGAGGTGTTTATTTTATCAAATAGCACGCGCGACAAAATGGCACTAATGTGGTTTCTCATGTCTGACAAACAACCAAAGATGAAAGTCCTTATTTCACCCTTTTATAGCTATGTTGAATACCTGAATATTAGGTTATCTTTTTCATTTGAGCATACAGATAACATTTCTACACAATTAGTCCTTATGAAAGCTTATTTCAAACTAAAAAAAGCGATTGTTTTTTAGAGCCAGACTTCAAAAGAGAACGTGTGTCTGACATTTTATAGCAGCCTACATTGGCGCGCAAAATAATTTTGGCTAAAAACCGTTTCTTTCCAAACAGAAACATGAGAAAATTGAGCGAAAAGGCTTACCTGATGTATGTTTAAAATGTTTTTCTCTTTATGGTGTTTTTCAGTGCTTTGAGTAGAGAAGTGAATAACTTTTGGTTTTGTCACCGCAATTTGCCTTTGAAAATGTCGGCTGTCATTGTCTGTGTTAAAAACACCTCAGAAAATTCCTATTTTCTCACCTTCCCATCCTTGGTTTATATTGAAAACAAATAGATTCTAGTACCATATGTCCTTTTAAATATATTTGAGGTAATTAAAAGATGTACAAGCACTGTGTTTTGGCTTGCACACTTTGTTGAATTTTAAGGTAGTCATATCCCTTTTGTTAGGCATTTATCAATATTTTTTCAAAATTTTGATTTTGTGTGTTTTAGGTATTTTAAATAGTGTAGTTTTAGAATTTCAAATTACTTTCACGAAATTTTTAATTTTTAAATGCGAAAAATGCTTCTGAAGTTGTGGTTATACAAATTTCCTTCTTAGCAACGCCTTAGCAACGACTTTTCACCCATATATCTTCGAATTGTTCAGCTATGAACTATCTTTTCTGGTTTCTACTTTTCGTGTATGGTATTTAAAGACTTTTTCTGGTTTCTACTTTTCGTGTATGGTATTTAACGACCATTTTACAAGCATGCGCGATCACATTTTGCATAGCAAATTCGCGATCGTCTTTGACCCACTGGCTGTAAACATCTGCTCGAAATTGTTCGTTTTTCCTGTATATTTTCGTCGAAAATTACTTCTGTTTGTTAAATATTGGTTTGATTTAGTTATTGTTTGTGGTTTCCTATAAAAATATGGGAAATACTCGCAATAGGAAGAGAAAACGAGCAAGAGTTGCTTGGCAGAAGAGTGCTAAAAAATTCAAAGATGGCGAACCATGTGATCAAAACGCTGGGCCTTCTAAGATGAAGATTGGCGATGTGGAGGGAAAGTTTGGCGAGAATTCTGGTTCAATGGATTCTGGCAAAGAAGGCACCTTATTTATGGACATGTCAGTTTTATTTGGCGTGTTTGATCAAGTCTTAAAATGCCCAGAATGTGGACATAAAATGACTTCTCATATTGACATGAAAAAGAAGCATGGCTTTTCACATTACATTGTACTGGAATGTGAACATACTGAATGTGACTGGAAATACTGCTTCCATACTTCGAAAAAACAAGGGCCATCATTTGAAGTAAATGTGAGAGCTGTCCTTGCATTTAGAGAGATTGGCAGAGGCCATAATGCTATGGTGACTTTCACCAAACTTATGAACATGCCATCACCACCAACCCGTCGTAACTTTACCAAAATACAGAACAAAAAGTTATTGCCTGTTGTTAAACAGGTAGCCAATGACAGTATGATGAACAATGCCATGAATGTCAAGGATTCCTGTGGAAATGACAAAGGTGAATGTGGGATTTCCCTTGATGGTACTTGGCAAAGACGGGGCCATGTGTCACACAATGGTGTTGTTACCGCAATAAGCCTGGATACCAAGAAAGTTCTGGATGTCGAAGTACTCTCCGACAAGTGTCAAGCATGCCAGAAATGGCAAAAGAAACAAAATGATCCAAAATACCAAGAATGGAAGGCAAACCACCAGTGTAAAATCAACCACACTGGGAGTGCTAACTCCATGGAAACAGTTGGTGCTTTGCGGATTTTTGAAAGGTCATACATATCACGGGGTCTACAATATAAGGACATGCTTGGTGATGGGGACTCAGCAACATATAATAAAATTGTTCAGAGGAAGCCTTATGGAGATGAATGTATACCCAAGAAATTGGAGTGCATTGGTCATGTCCAAAAACGGGTTGGCAGCAGGTTGCGCAAGTTAAAAAGTGCAAATAAAGGTTTGAAATTGGCTGATGGGAAAGGACTAGGAGGCAAAGGAAGATTGACTGATGGAAAGATTGATGTTTTGCAAAACTATTATGGACTTGCTGTGGGGGAGAATTTGGATGATGTAGACCAAATGGCCAAATCGATTAAAGCAAGTTTATACCATGTTGCTTCGACAGATTTAAACCCTCAACATCATCTTTGTCCGAATGGCAAAGACAGTTGGTGCGGATACAAGAGGGACGAAGAATCGTACAAACACAAGAATGGTATACCTGAGTGCATTGTCAAGAAAATTAAACCAATCTTTGATGAATTAAGCCAACCTCAATTGCTCCAAAAATGCACTCATGGAATGACACAAAATGTCAATGAGTGTCTAAATGGCCTAATTTGGGATCGCTGTCCCAAAACCACATATGTGGAACATGAAACTGTAGCTCTGTCTACATATTTGGCTGTCGTGAAATTTAATGATGGGGACATTTCCTTTCTAAAGATTTTTGAAGACTTAGATATCAAGCCTGGTTCATTTACTGCACAAGGTTGTCAAGATTGTGACCAATCACGAATTGAGCTGTCGGCCAAAAAGAGCAAGGAAACAGTAAAAAGTAGAAGAAAAACATTGAGGCACCTCAGGAAAAACTTTGTTGATGAGATAGAAGAGAAAGAAGGTGTGGTTTATGAAGCTGGGAGCTTTTAACACTTTTTAAGGTACATTGACATTAAAGCAAACTTTTCAATTAAATTTTCTCATTTTTGCTATTTCTCAGGTATCATCAATCTTTGTGACATTATAATTTTGTAAATATTAGCTGTATTAGATTGATATTTGGTGTGGTTACTTTCAATAACATTATCTAGTGAATAAAGCTCTTCAGATATTGATATTTTTTATCATTGATGAATTATTTGCAAATTGCTTCCACAAAGGCACTAATTTATTCATAAAATTATTCAAATATTTAAAATTTGGCTCAATTTTTTTTTTAAAGTATTTTAAACAAAATTGAAGAGCTTTAGGCACTAGTTCATTCTCCAAGCTTTCTGAAAATATATTGTTCATTAAATTTGGTTCATTGGTTCCTGAGTTATGATGTGTCCGATGCTTTGCAATTATGCGTTAATTAGTGGCCGCCATATTGGATAATTAGTGTAATTAATGTTTTTCCCAAATTTTTTTTCCATGGGTCAATTCCCTTTCCCTTACCCTTTCAAAATATGATATTTTCACATTGATCTCTTTAAAAACTAAGAAAAAAGTTGTAGTGGGGTTGCCCAAAAAAGCAAAGGAGTATTTTTTATAATTTTTGATCATTTTCTAATTCATATCCCAATAGATGAAAATTGGTTATAATATAGATATGTACTAATTTAGTAAATACTTTTTTTTTTTGGTTTTTATATAAATATATGGAGATATTGCCCCTTTAGGTGATGAGTGACATGAAAAAAATAGTGTCACTGGTTTACAAATAAAAATTCTCATTGAAAAAACTAATGATATATATAGGTATGCAAGTTCATTTAAACTAAATTTGGTCAATCATATATTAATAATATTTGGTTGAAAAGACCAGATTTATTCATGCAACTGTTTCTGAGATATTGCCATTTTGGTGAAAGCTCTTGAATTCAGTCACGTATTCGCCATATTGCTTGCACGTTAGGGGGGTAGAAACATTGTAACAGCTTGTGCGTTAATGAGTTAATTTACGTTCACTCACAACTGTTCGTTAAGTTCACATTGAGCATCTATTACATCTAGTTGCATGTTTTTGTACACGAAATAGACCGGAATTTGATTAGTATTTATCTCACCTCTAGAAAACCTCAGGAAGAAACGCATGCATGTTTTGCGCGACAGACATAGCGCATCTAGGCTTGGCTATCACATTTCCACGACGTCACGAAACTCACACCTGCACACAATCTTGTCTGCATCTGTACTATCTAACCGTATAAAAGCAGTGTGTGCAGTCTGAATTACTATGCATTTCGAATTCAACAAGAATGGCTTCCACCATGAAGGGAGCGAAGAGGGGCAAATTTTGCATTTGCGGAGGTCTGGATTGCGCATTTGCACGGATATAAATCACGTTGAAGGGATATCAATACATAAGTTTTCTGCAAATGAAGAACAGCGGAAAATATGGTTAAAATTTGTGCGAAAACATCAGCCGAATTTTACTCCTACGAATTTGTCAGTAATATGCTCAGCGCACTTCGAGAAATCTCCCTAGGGACCGCGCGTAGCAAAAGGGGGAGCACTTGAGAAAGACGGAAGCGAGCGACTTGTGTCACTTGCCTGATTTTGAATCTTACTGAAAAATTTGGCGCGAAAATCAATTATGACATAGTGCGCATTCACCATGTCGATTTCACTAGTTCATTATTGTTTTGGCGTCGTTAGTACAGAATAATAATGAGCATTCACTGACGTTACCGGAGCAAAAATGCACTGGTGAATTTGGCGTGCTTGTGGGTGACAAAAGTCTGTCACTTCCAGGAACCACGAACTGCGGACTTTGGAAATTTTGAGCCATGTAATCGATTTATTGTATTTCTCATTCTAGACAATTGAATCTTTGTGACAAGAGTTGTCCTCGGGAGGCAAGAGTAGCAGTGGCGAAGCAGAAAACGAGACGGGTGAAGATATTGGTATCTTGCACGAAGCTTGGGATTACGAAGATTGGTTAATGGGAGATAACTCGGAGGACATTTGGGTCAGACACTGAAGGATCCTGACTGGAATGCAAATATGGAGGAGGAAGAAGAAACTGACGCATCAGATGATGACAAGCTTGACGAAACGGAAGACAACGATAATGCATCACAGGATGCGAGGTAGGTCTTCATTAATCCACAATATAGACCTACCCTGTACTCACAATATTCTCCAGAACTCTGAAAAAAATACTAATTGGTTGCCTTCTCTTTCAGATCGGCTGATAGAGAACCAAAATTTATTGTGTTCTACAGTATGTTGGTGTTTCACTGTTTTCATTGTTCTGTTTCAAATGCAAGGCACGGTCGCCAAGTGTTAATGTAAAAGTCCATGGAACAATGGCAATAGTGGAACAAACATGCAAAGGCTGTATGTGGAGGAGCCAACGACTGGTGCTGGGGATCTTGTTGAGTTTTGCAACCCTCATGTCTGAATCCTCGATTAGTAAAGTTTTGCTGCTATTTAGGCGCATGGGCCTTAAAATATACTGTGCTAGGACTTTCTTCTACCATCAGAGGAAGTTTATGTTCCCATTAATACTGCAATACTGGGAAAAATCCCGGGCAGTATTAATCAAACAACTAAAGGGAATAAAGGATACGGTTTGGGCTGGAGATGGCAGATTCGATAGCATGGGACATTCAATGTTGAATTGTAATCTGACCAAACTTGTGCACCTCAAATTACTTCAGGTATTTTGAATTGATCATTTTGATGCTGTACCGTATTTAGGAAAATAATACACAATCCAAAGAGTAAAATCTTAAGACCCTAGATATGATTTAAGGAGTAAACCCTTTCTATAATTACATCACAAGTCTCTCCTTGGCCCAGGAGTCTCATTCTCGTGCCAGTGAGTGAATTGCATTTCTTGTCGATTTATGGAAGCGAAGCTCCCAGGTCACGGAAGTATTTGTAACGTAAATAACAAAAGGGTGTATTGAATGAAATAACTCATCATATTACCTTATCTTTACAGGCCAATGAGGTTGGAAGTAGTAATAAATGGAGTTGGAAGGTGCCAAGCGCTCATTTGACGCAATAAAAGTCAAGGAGAAGCTCCCACTTGAGACGTTTGTTTTCGATCGCCACCGTGGAATAGGTAAATGGATGAGAACTAGTCAGAAGGATACTACACACTATTATGATATCTGGCACCAGGCAAAGTCAACTGTAAAGAAAGTGTTGAAAGCAAGCAAAGAGAAAGGCTGCGAGATATAAAAAGAGTGGGCAAAATCCATCAGAAATCATATATACTGGTGTGCTGCATCTTCCAAGCCTGGGTTTTGAGCCCTTATAGAAGCAAAGTTATCAAGAAACCTTCACCTGTGGTCCAAACTAGCTCCTTAGGTGTCCATTCAGTGTTGAACCATTGGCATCCCAAGATGATTTGCTTTTCTTGGTTAGGGACACACTGAAAGTTAGTAACCAGTCTCATAACTACTCGTCAGTATACTTATGCAAAAACCACTTATATTTGATAGAAATAGAGTAATTTGACAATATGACTAATAGTGACTTTCTTACCCCTAGGCACATCCTAGCATGCCTGCACTTTAACGAGAATACCCATAGGGAGACAAAGATGTCCAAGAAAGGCACTCCATATGTTACCTACACAAAATTTAAGATGGGTGAAGAAATGGTCAGAGAAATTTCTGTCCCAGCAACATATAGTATGTGTATATAGGCTAGTGTAAAATGATATGAACCCAAAAATAAATGCTGGTACATATTTTAATAAATGGAATTATTTGAGTTAGCGGTGCAAGTCAAGCATATCGAAGATGACTTAAAGCTATTGAAAAATAGAATTGATGTTCACAAAGCTGATGAAACTGCTTTGATATGTAGGACTACCACATGCTGAAGTGAAACGAGTTATCTAAAAAGTGAGTTAGAAGTGGCTAATGCTAAAAATAATAGATGTCCAAGCGAAAATCAAACATCTCTAAAATGAAAAATCTAGCTTGACAACAGCAATAAGAGTAACACAAGAAGACAACTCTCTGCAGTCAAATGTAAACAGCACTGAGGATGATCAAGAGGGAAAGCAGTGTGTCGAATGGTATAAAAAGAAAAAGAAACGTAAACGCGATCAGACTCGCACCAAACACCAACAATTGCTAAGCATGAAAATTGTCCTGTCGAGACAACCTGTGCTGATGAGTCAAAAAGTTTTAAAAAAATAAACAACTCGAGCGACCAAGGGTAAAGGAAAAAAGATGGATATGCAAACACTCATCAAAATCCTGTTAAAGTAATAGTAGCAGGCGATTCCATGCATACAAGATGTCAAAGTCTAACACAAGAGTTCAAGTCTCGACATATGCTGGATGTACCACCCTAGACATGGATGACTATGTTAAGCCAATATTAAGAAAAAAACCCTGACAAATTGATCCTACATGTCGGCACAAATAGCCTGAAGGGTCGTGAGAAATCCACTCATTGCACATAAGAAATTATATCATTGGGAGAAAAAATAAAGAGATAAATCCCGGAGACAGAGCTGGTCATGTCTGGCTTTGTCACACGTTCACACGACAAAATGCTAACACGTAAGTCAACGAAGTTAACACAGTGCTGAAGGAATCTTGCATTCAGGAACATTGGAAATTCATTGATCACACTAATATTACAATTAACCAACTAAATCAGAGTAGAATCCACCTCAACAAAATGGGAACAAGTATGATGGCATGAGATTTTACAAACCATATTTACAATAGGAAATGTTGGGATACAGCCCATGTGGGAAGTCGTAAGTAATAATGCTGATGAACAATCTGGATTATATGAAGAAATGCCAACAAATGTGGGTGAGTTATACGAATCAAATTATTCTAATATAGGATATCATATATAAATGTAGACAAAATACCATCTCATCGTGGTATGGTTATGGCTTGCTTGAATATTAATAGTCTCTTACCCCATATTGATGAATTACAAATATTTACAAGTAGTACTAAAATAGACATATTATGTATAAACGAAACTAAGGTTCGAGAGGGAACAAGAATTTTTGTACTTCTGGTTAAGGAATTTATAAGGACTTATTTGATACCACAATAATTGTATTTAGTATAAACCTACTAGTAGGCTATCACATATCGTGCCTTCTGATTGGATATGCTACTAGTAGGCTATTAGTGATAGCCTACTAATAGAAAATTCAAAATGGCGGAAAATTCGCATTTTGCACTTTTGCCGAAGTGTCTGATGATTTTTTGGACGACTTGTTGAACAATTCTGTACTAAAAACCCCCGAAAAAAGCAACAAAAATATGGAATGGGAATTTTTAAGGGTAAGAAAATAGACAAAATAACATACACTCAATGAAATTTTAAAATTAAAACTGAATTTTGTAAAACATTTTACGCGAACAAAAACTAAAATATTTGTTTACCTTTAATGGTTTTATAATGTTTTTTTTTGTGTATTTTTGTATTGTGTTTGCAGCCTAGTTGTAAATTAATGTTAAAGTTTATACTAAAACAATTAGACAACTCGGCCTCGTTGTCTATGAGCAAATAGTCAACTCGGCTTCGCCTCGTTGACTATTCGCTCTTAGACAACTTGGCCTCGTTGTCTAATTGTTAAATAGTAAGACTACAAAAGAGTTATATGCTTATTTCTAAGTACAACAGGCATATATAGGTAAAAAAAGGTTTAATGGTCAGTAAATATTTTTGAACCTATAATTAAATAGAGTGATATAAAATTCCATGCAACATCTGTCACAAAATATTACCAAAGTTTATTTATGGTGTAGGGTAGGACTCCAAATTAATGAAATGCAACTAATTTTGTTACTTTAAGCATGAATAAGCATAATAAGCTGGTTAACCACACCAAAAGTTACAAAAATGATTGACAGTTAACGGTTGAATTGTGTAACGTCCGTCACATTCAAAATAGGCTAATTATGTATTTCTTTCACTGAACTGGTTTTGAATTCATCACAAATATAGTATATCTGAGGCAACATGAAGTATATACCTGCAGTCAGTAATACTGCTGGCATATTTTAATATAGTAGATTCAAAGATTTTGTCTGAAATCACAACACATGGGAATTGTAAAATTTAAAAAGGAAGAAATCCATTAAATCCACCAATTTTGGTCAATGCCCGGAAGGATTATGACTTCCCAGACTTTGTTTAGTTAAGCATTTATATGCATCAACTTATACAAGTACTATGCTTGACTTTCTTACAGTTGTTAAAATGTGGATTAAAATCAGTGATTTTGTAACATCCATCACAATTTTGTTGGCCTCGGTTCTCTTCTACTTTGAAAGGACTAAGAATGTTAACCACCTTTTCTATGGATAATATATATCTTGTTTAAGATCATGTCATCAAAATGTTGAACTTTAAGCTTAAGCTTGTGAAGGCAAGGGATATTATGTCATGAACACCTTTGTCTACCGTACACTTGAGAATACTAACATTTTTAAAACATTGATGGCTGTTAAGATTAAGTAATTAAAAATAATTTTAGAAACAATTCTTCACAACTAAGAGTTATATTCTTTAAATTAAATAATAGTATTTTGTAACGTTTATATAATCATTGTAATATCAGGGTTCCAAATGGCATTTTGCTTGTGCCTGGGGTTCAGTATTAAAATTAATATCCCAATTTTCAAGTTTTCAAGTACCCCCTAAAACTTTTTTTGCGAGAGGCTTATAAGGTTAGCGCACATGAATTAATGATACATGTTTTGATATGCATTTAGTAATATATGGCTGTAAAGTATAGTCCGTTTTACAGGTTTTGATACCATTACTGATGGATATTGGCATGACGCACTATAAAAACATAATTAGTGACAATTGCAATACAATTACAATACACACAATTTTAGCATTTTCTGGTATTGGTAATGTCTTTATAAAATTGCCGTTCTAAGTTCTTTTGAAAATCAATACTAAACTGTAGACAATTTGCATGTTAGCAAAGCATCGGGAAAAGTCTGTGACCATAAATATTGTGACGTTATAAAGTTACCATTTTAAAGGTCAAGTGCAGCTTAGAGATGAGTGTGATATACCGAGTTACAATTCATGTATAGAGTCTATATATAGACGTTGGTTTATTTTAAACTCTAGTTTTAGTATACTCAAACTAAAAAAACAAGACCATGCATATGGCTCTATGCCCACATTATTAGTAACAACAGCTTTAAAAACAACACTGAAGAATCCAATTTAGTTGATGACTATCTCTTAAAAATTACAATGTATTAATGTATGCCAAACATGAATCACAACGTTATTTGCGTAAATAATCATTGCCTCAATAAATGAGTGATATGCGTAATAACCAATATTCAGTACATTGTACTATTGGTAGCTGTACTGAATACAAGGAATATAATGTATTTCTTGCTTTTGTTCTGTTTACACCAATGTTATTGCGACAGATTTGCGCAAATGTAATTTGATATCACGCATTGTAATTATATAAATGCAAACTGCCTAGTTTTCTGGGCGTGAGAAGGTGAAGAAGACTGGGAACGTCCTAGTTTTTTGTGCGCAGGGGTCTGAGAACGTCCTAGAATTACCTTATTTGGAAAAAAACTAGGCTGTTGTCGTCAAAAACTAGACAACTGCCAACACAAACTGACAACCGATTTTGTGACCTATATCAGGGCGTCCTAGTTTATGCTTTCTGGTTGCCTAGTTTTTCAATTTTTACTATTTTTTTCTTCCTAAAATTGGAAAATTTATGAGATTGGGTTCCCAGGCACAACTAGCCTCATTTGGAACCTTGGCAATATGGTTGGCATCATATTTTGCCTCTGCTCCCCCCTGGATGAGAGAATAAATAACATCAAATGACATTCAATATTTAAAATTTGATATCATATTGAAAGTTATGTACAGAAGGTTTTTTCTGAAATGCTATCATTAGAAGACAAAATTAGTTGTAAATTTTGGGGGTGAAAAGCTTTGTCCATTTTGTGTAACGTCTGTCACACACATTTACATAAAAATTGTAGCTGATTACTGCAGGTTTCAATTAAATAGGCTTTTCCAGTCGATAGTTATTGTGCTTGTCTACTTTTACAAAAATTATGGACTTAGATTTCATAAGTAAAGAGATGTACAAGAATTTGCCTCAAAGTAATCCTTTGAATGTAATGTCTGTCACTATGGAATTTACCTCTTGGTGGTTTACTTTAAAAAGAAGCTTTTATTATAGTGGTGCTTACTTATGGAACAGCCTTCCTCAAGTCAAGATAAGTATTAAATACTTGGTGTAGATAAGCTGTAGGTAGGTATTATAATAATGTAAGTGAACTCCCCCACATGGCATTCTCGTAAACCAGTAGAAGATAATTTTTAGATTTTTTTTATAATTGATGTGTGTATGTAATTTATAACTGTCTTATTACTCTTATAATAGTTAGATTATCTATGAACTGACGATTTTACCATGTTTAAATAAATTTGGATTGATTGATTGATTGATTGATTGATCGATTGATTGATTGATTGATTGATTGAAAGAAATGATACCCAGTCACAAAATTGGAATTCTAAAAGCAGTAAATAGCGAAATTTTATGCATGATTATAATGCATGAAATTTTACGTTTATGATGCATGCCTTTATCCCAATGAACCTCTAGCATCCCGAATGCTACTCTCTCATTTTGCAAGAGAACTTATGACTGCCAATCACCAAAATGGTTGCTTCATCCCATTTTATACGATGGTCATAAGTCCAAGTGTGTTTAGCCACAGCAGATTTATCTTGCTTTGCTTTCTGGCAATTTGTTTTATGTTCTTTAAGATGTATTGAGAGATTTCGACCAGTTTCAGCCAGAGGAGGAGTGGTCACTATACTGTGATGCATTGCGATTATTCTGATTAATTATATATTATTGATTTTCCACAAGCAGGCACTTGTTGTTTGCTTGACCTTCACTATCAAACCAACAAGAGTGAGAAATATGGCAGATTTTGTAAAGCCGATTATTCACCATCAAAAAGCTTCAGTTTTGGAAGGACACAATCTTGTTTTTGTTCATTGTTTATCATCAGAGCCTATGCTGTTGGTTTCTATGGGCACAGAATAAAGACATACAGAAGTGTAACTTCCATTACAAAACCGTAAGGTGGTTTTTTTTAGCAAGTGCGCTAAAGAGAGGCATTCACCCCCCTGAAATCAAATA